TTCATCAAGGTCAATTCCGACAATGATAGGAGGGAAAAAGAACAAGCAGAAATAATTCCTGTGCTAGGCCACAGCCTCTGCCTTGGAAGAAAGCATTCAAGCACCAGCATGCCACCTCCTAGTGAACAGTCTTTTAGAAAAAAAATCAAAACCAAACAACAGTAGAACTGTCTCCCTGGAGTCTATAACTGTGACATAAAGGTTCTTTGCATTGTTCCTCTCCCCACCTGCAGCTTCTTAAATTTAATTCTGAGAATGAAGACCATCCATTCTTACAAACATTAAGTCTGCTGAGGGCCAGCACAGCTTCCTAATTTTGCCAGCTTCAAAGTAACCCAGACTCCAGTTTCTCATGAGCAGGAAAACAAAGGGAAGATGAACAAGGAAATAAAGTGTTTTCTTAAAGGTATTTACAGCAAAGTGCATGCCACTGTTAGATTTCCAAATCCATAAATGCAAAGAAGTAGTCTGACATAACTGTAAGAAGAGATGTAAAAACAAACTGAAACATAGGAAGAATACAGATATACTGTATTTTACCAAGTAAGGCTAGGAATCCTTAAATATTCTCTGCTGCAGAAAGACCAGCCTCGAGGTTCTCCATACCATAAGGCAAAAATATTATCCTCTAATGATTGACTTCAACCATGGTGTCCGATCACCTTCAATATTTGAAAGCAAATACTCTATAGGTGATAGGTCCATCCAGCCCTACAGACACAGCAATTTCTCAGTTCAAGATCTCTTTAGCTCTCAAACAAAAAATACCTAATAGAAGAATGTCAGTTAGCACCCCTACTATGGTCTAACAATGAGCATTAAGAAAGAACAAGACTGCTTGGCAGGTGGGTCCATCTGCTGAGACATCTAATTTAACACTCGGAATAAGGAAGATTAAGACATTCTGCTTCTGAAGTGCTCCCACTCACCTGACGAGTTCTTTGTGATCTCAGCAGCAATAACCCCACTGGTGTACACACACAAGTGCCCTTTTTTTTTGGGGGGGGGCTTTGAGGAATATTGCTTAGTAAACCATCTAGATAATGCTTTCAACATCATTTTTAGTCTAGGGTGAAATCAAGCTTTAAGGAAAGCTCAAAGATCAAGAAAGCCATTTCAGTTTGATGAAAGCTTTTTTTTTAAAAAAAAGAAAATACTTTCTCATTTTAAATTCTCCCAGAGCATCTGGTACAACTGGATCTTCAAGAAAACCTCACATACATTTAAACTTTCTTTGAGATAGACTACGGGGCTGCTCTCCAAAAGCAGCCATCAGCCACAGATATTTATTCATAAAAGGAATAGAAGAAAATTTAACACAGCAAGAGAAACACTTCAAATTCTTCGCTGACTCTGGAAGGCAAAGAAGAATCCAAGGTGTCTGAAAAAAAATCTGTAATAACTTTCTACGGAAGCAAGGTGAGTTGGTGTGAGAAGAACAGGATGAGTGACTTAGACCACTATCACAGTTTATGGCCTTGGACAAGAAAGCATTACATATACACGAGGTGCTCATTCCGGGCTCTCATAATCCCTTCATATGTCATAAGACCATGTCTTTCCTCTTCCTAGACCAAATTACCACGTGCTCGTGCCCCCATTTACCTCCTCTTTCCTGCCAGCAAATACCTATGTGGCTTGCATATCTGCTTTTCCAGGACACACACACCGATGAACTGCAAGTCAGCTGAAAGAAAAGGAAAATGCACTTGCAAAGCAAAGAGGCTGTATGGAAAGAGCATATGCAACAAGCATAGGAAATCAGTTGTCACAGCCAGAAGGCAGTCCTCAGGGAGCAGGGCAGAGTTTAGTTCAACACAGCCTTTCTGCTGCCTGAGGAAGGCTTGTGGCAGGTACAGCTCTGATATCCTGACTGCCAACTCTGCGCTGAGCGTAACCCTCTCCAAAGTGAGAGGGAGAAGGACACAGCTTCCAGAGAACACAGCACCACAATTTGCTACAGCAGAATACACAGGTTAATGAAAAAATGCGGACAGGAACTTAAATAACAACAACAAAAAAAACCACAAAGAAAAAAAACACCCAAACCCATTCCATTGTTTGTAATAGAAGAGAAGGAGAAAGATAGATTACTTTTACCAATGAAATGAAGGACTGCCAAGCATTCAGTTATGACATTTGTTACTGTGTTTGCATAAGAGAGAACGTAATATGCTACACACAAATAGCCTGTAACTTTAAAGGTTCACAGCCCCTGCCAGAACAGTTGTGAGCACTGAAAAGATACATACTGCATCATAAGCAAAGAGTAAGCACTATTTGCTACATCCTCAAATAGGAAGAACTAGAATTTTGAGAAGGTTCTTGCTGCTCAGATTTATCAAGCCAGAACAAGATGGCAGACGATGGATTAAGGATGATGTAGATTCAAAAGCAGTATCTGAAGCTAGAGACTCAGACCTCACCATGAATCTAACAGCTATTTTTAAGCTCCTGACAAAAAAAAAAAAAAAAAAAAAAAAAAAAAAAAAAAAAAAAACCAAACCAGATCTGGAGCAAAAAGGAGGTTTTGTAAGACCGGAATACAGCAAGTGGATTACCAGAAGTTACTCTGGGACTGGGGTGGGGGGAAGCACAGGCAGAACCTCAGCAACCCACACAAAAAGTTGCACGTAACGAACAACCACCTCTGCAAAGCCAGTGGAGAGAAAAGAGGCAATCAATAGAGGACACAGACAGGAAACAAGGTGGAACAACTATTAAAGAGCAGCACAGCTGACAGATACAGCTGACAGAGAAAGGAGAAGCAAGAACTGGATTTGAACTTCAGCTAGGAAGCGATGACAGTAAACAATGATCACAATTTTAGCAGAGCACAATGGAGGCCAAAGTGGAGGAGGACAAGCACACCTGACAATGCACCCAAAGAATTTTGAGATGAAAAAAGGGAAAGGAAATGAAGAGGTAGTTGCAAAAGCAAGAGAAGCCACAGGCATTTTGCACACTTCTTTGAAAAATGTGAAACACTTGTGTCTACAGGTCACTGCAATGGAAAAAATCCTCACAGCTGAGTGAGTGATTAAAAGAAAAAGGTGAAAGAGAAAGGCCAGCAAGTTCAAGGGAGATAAGGGGATATTACTGTATAATGCCACAAGGTGAAGTGAAAGGGTTAAGAGGAGGAGTGCAAAATTCCACTTGTGACAAGGAGAGGTGATCCTAACAGTTGAAGAAAGTGACAAAGAGTAGGCCAATGCATGCTCAGAAAATCATCCCATACACAGAAGGAACAACATGCTGAACAACATGCAACAACCACGTCAACAGTGTCTGTACAATGGGATGCTATTTGCCAAGTCTGATTAGATCTATTGGTACAGCCATGATGCTCTGTCGGCCACAAACCCTTTGTTGTAAGTACAGAAACACAAAAAGTATCACTGAAGAACAACTCCTCAAGCAGTTCAAGAATTTGAGAAAGTGTCTGCCATTGGGAAAACAAGAATCATAAATGGGAGGACATGCCCTGAGAACAGGAAAAAGGGAAAAATATGTTAGAGAGATCCAAACTGAATATACTGGTAAACTGCAAGGCACGTGAAAGGACAGTTACATTACAAGCAGAATCCAAATGACGTTGGAGATCCCAAAAGAAACCTTGCGATTATCAGAGATAAGAAATTCAGCGCACAAACACTACTTGGTGAAAAGCAAATGAAATTAACTGACTCTATTTAATGAGAAGCTAGAAACAGGAATGCAGGCCAAATCAAGTTAGGGCAAAGAAGCATGTAATTACTGTCAAAGAACAGAGAGCAAAAAGGCAGAAAAAGCCAGGGATCAAACTGGTAGAGGAGAGCTCAGGAGGTGGCAATGAGCTGCACATAAGAATGCAGAGAGAAGATAAAAAAACCCAAAAAACTAGATCCCAACATTGTTTAGGAGAGAAAAAAAAAAAAGAATCTGAAGGCAGCAGGAAAAAGCAGTCCAGCACCTTGTGCATGGTCTGGCCCAAGACAGAAGGCATGAAGCAAGAGGGTAAGCATAAATAATGTGGCACACTGATAATGGGAAGGGAAGTCAAATTATACATGGTTCTAAAGTGTCAGCTTCAGTCTCAGATAATCAATTATGGGTGCCTCCATCCACAACCAGGTGACAGTGAATAAAGCTCTCTTTGTCCCTGCTTTGACTTTACATTTCTCCTCATTCATTGTGTACTTGCACTTTGGAGAATGCCAGTTACCAGTATGACTGTGCTATAATTCGTACAGAACTCATCAACAGTCAAGCCACCCAACTCATCAAGCCACCCAAGTTCTACTCAATTTACAAACTTGTATGTCATTCCACTTTATCGACCTTAATATGCAGGGACCAGGTAATATGCATTACAGTCAAAGAATAAATCATTTGGGTTCGAAGGGACCTCTGCAGATGTGTGATGTAAACTTCTGCCTAACGCAGGGCCAATTCTGAAGCTACCTTCAATTTCACAGGTAGAGTGAGTTGCTTTAGGATCTTGGGGTTGCATAAATGTGACTGGACAGCTAAGCCACAACTTCTGTTGCTCCCTCCTCCCTCCCCCCCCCCACTCCCAATCCCATATTTGACTGTTCTCACTGTGAATTTTTTTTTCGCTCAATACTGAATTGGAATTTCCCTTGCTGCAACTTGTGTCAGCTTTGATTTGTCCTTCCACTGCACAACTCCAAGAGCAGTTCTGGAGAGCATTAGTATCTAATAGGACAGATAAAGAAAAAAAAGATCACTGTAGTAACGAAAAAACTTTTGGACAACTGGAACTTTTAGTAGGCAACATCAATCTAGGCTTTTGAGGCTCATAAATTCTGACTGACCAGGTAGGTGTGGCAGAAATCTAAAGAAAGCTGTCTGAAGGGCATCACTAGAGATTTACAAATGAAAGATGATCATTTAAGATGAGAGAAGAACAAGAAAAACAACATTTCAAATGGTATGCTTAATGCAAACAAGCAAAAAAAAAAAAAAAAAAAAAAGCCATAGTAAATTTCAGTACTCACCATCTCTCTTGCAATCTCCACAGCTTCCTGCAGCCCATAGAGCCTGCCACAGACCAGGTAGATCCCATTGGCCCAGAGAATACAACCCTCATGGACCCAAAATTCATTGCTGTCAAGAGGTAGTTCAGGAATTTGTAACTCCAGCTCAGTGCCACCTTCTGAAGTGGGCATAGAGGGCTTTGAGTCCAAAGGAGTCTTTTCACCACCACTGCCACCTTCAGTGGTTGCTTTTTTACAAGAAGCTCCCCTTGAAAGTGACCGAGAGGCTCCACTACAGTCCTCAGAGCGGTGCCGCCTCTTAAAGCGGGGATGAGCAGCTAGGCTTCTTTGTTCCTTCTGTTGTTGCTGTTCCTCCTCCTCCTCTGTATCTGTCTTGGAACCATTAGAAGCACTTTTGTGCCGTACCTTGACCTTGCTCTGCATTTCTGTGGCCCTCTTTGGAGGTGGGTTCTTGGGCAAGGTGGCTGCGTAATCCTGGGGGTAGAAAGGACCAAAGAGGTCACCCATGTTACGATAGCTGGCCCATTTGCCACACAGGCAGCAAACCAGATGCCCCAAGACAGAAGACTCTGTTACTACAGGGCCCTGCAGCATGAAAGTTGAGGTGGGCAGCACTTTGCTCTCCGCGTTGCTAGGAGGGGGTGTTGAAGACCTCTGTCCTTTCCGACCCCTCACCAATTTGTTCTGCTCCTCTTCCTCCGCATTAATGATTGTGCACACAGCTCCTAGTTCACACTTGTTTACCACGTGAATGTAAGGGAAAAAGGATTTATTCTTGGAGTCAGTTTTATCCACAGCCTGGGTAGCATATTTAAGCTTGATCTCCGGCTCTTGAGGCTCCACAATCGGGGCGGCCCGTCTAGGCTTCCGCTTCCGTGGCTGTGCTGCAGGTTTTCGCCTCTCCCTCCTTTGCCTCTTAGGTTTTGGCTCACCCCCAGCGACCCCCTCTGAAGACTGAGAAGGTACAGGTGGAGGCGGTGGGGGTGGTGGCAGTTGCTGCTGCTGTTGTTGCTTCTTTTGCTTGTTCACACTCCCAATTGGTCTTCCCTTTTTCTTTCCAGAAGGAAAATATCCTTTTGGAGGGAAGCCATCCGGCTTGGGTGAAATGTTTGTCACATCTCCATCTTTTTCCTCAGGCTTTGGGTTTGGTTCAGAAGTAAACACACTGGAGGGAGAAATTGTTTTTGAGTCTGGAAAGGTCAGAGTTCCAGTTCCGCTTACGGATCCATCAGACCTCCCCTGACCACCGGACTTCTGAGGAGGTGGTGCTGCGCTGGTTCCCGTCCCTTCTTTACTAACACTGGCAGTTTCAGGGGTGTCTTTTTTGGTTTTATCATCCTCGCTGCCTTGCCACTCTTCTGAGGATCGCGCAAGAGTTATTTCACCAGCTGTGTCCTGGCTTGCTGACCCCGCTTGATCTGACAACATCTCTCCTTTTCTCTTCTCAGCCTCCAGCCCATGTGCAGACACACTTCCTCCCTCAGGTCCACTCTTAAGGGACAGGATGTCATCAAGAGTGACAGTATCTGCACCAGTTTCAGCACTGTTGGTGGAAACACTTCTCCGAATATTGGGAGATGTAATTTTCTGAACAATTGCTTCCAGTTTTAATCCTCGCCCCTTTCTTGGGGGCAATATTTTGGTCTTAGCCGGGCTTGTGAGGGAAACAGCAGGACAATTCCTACCATCAGGACTTGGCAGGTCCTTGAAGGAATCTCCCTTTGCAACTGGTTTGCCAACATCTTGGCTTTGAGATGAATGGGCATAAGAGTTGTACGCTTTATCAGCTCCTTCTTTTGCTGATGTCATCATTCGCCCTTTATCTTCACTGCCACTGTTCTTCATATCCTGTGGCTGTCTTTTGGTAGGGATAGGAGAGATGAAAGAACGGACTCTCCTCCTCATAATTAAGGGATTTTGAGGAGACTGGTCTTCGTGGCCAGGGAGCCTGAGCATGGCATTGCTAGGCTTGGGCAAATCCGTAGATTCCTCTCGTCTGTGCCCATCGCTTTCTTGGGGGCAAAACCTTTTTTGGCTGGCTGCTCCCAGAGCGCCACTGCCTTTGGCAGGTGTAGTCTGCCGAGAGAGGTCCCAACCAGATTCATGCGGCTGCAGCTTCTGGTTACTGTGTTTTAGGTCAGTACACTTGCCCTGTGCACTGTCGCTTCCCATAATGCAGCGCCCAGGATCCTGGCTTCCAGTATCGTGGTAAGAGCTACCCTGAAGGTACATCATTCCATCCTTGTCATTTTTCAAGGGACTCCTTACTCTGTCCAAAAACTGCTGTTGTCTTGGGCTCTTCCTGGCTCCTTCCTGTCTGTGCTGAGCCGCAGCAATCACACCCTGAGCAGCGCTGCTTGCCCAATCTTTGTATTCCTCTTGCTGTTGCTGGTATAGCTGTCTCTTGTAATGATACTGGGAATTTAAACTCTGGTTGGGGTCACCAAAAGGATGAGGCCTAGCATTTGCATGATATGCTGCAGCCAAAGATGAGCCTTCTGAGTTCTGAGGGTAGCCAGAATGCAAGGAACCCCTGTTAACTCTTTCAGATAGCGTCATATGTGGGTTCATGTGATGCAGATCTGCTCCTGGGCCTCTGCTTCTGCCCGGTGACATTTTCAGCTTATCAGCAAGATCCTGAAATTGAGAAGGTGATTTACCCCTGCTGCTTCCAGTTCTGCCAGGTGCTCGTCTCAGCTGTGTTGATCTGCTCTCCTGCTGGGGAATGTAGTCTGGAGCAGAATCGGAGACTGCAGCTCCAGGGCTAGCATTGCCTCGGAAAGACTCATGCTTGATGCCAGCAGAATGACAATGGTCTCCTGTCTTTTTATTATTAAGACTAACTGAGCTCTTTGACTGTTCAAACTCTTCTTCTTTTATTTGCCCACTGTGAGCTTTCATCTTTGTTTCCATGGATACTAAGCCACCAGGGAGTATTACTGACTGACTTAAGCCAGGGGCAAGACGTTCACTCCTTCCACTTCTGCCCTCGGGACCCATGTGCCCCATTGGGTGAGGACCAGGATCTCTGACAAGCTGCCTTAATGGAGATATGTCACAGATCACTGATCTCCTCTCCGAGAGTGCTCCCCCTTCATGAGAAGAAGACTGAGACTCTATCTCAAACTTTCTAGCAATAGGGTAATCAGCTAAATTTATCTGCTTCATGTCAGGGGCTGCGCTGCTAGACTTCCTATCCCAGGGACCCCAGTGAGGACCTTCCAGGAGAGACCCCATACTTTTGTTTAAGAGGCCTCTATTCGTCAATTCATTGGCTTGACTAATTAAGATATTGGGCCTCATGGCTCCCTCCAAACTCCCAGCCATCCCAGAATGTTCCTGCGCATTCCTAGAATACCTTCTGTCTGGATGATGGTGGTAACCCTGTAAAACCTCCTGCAGAAGGCTAGGAAACTTCTCATTCCTGCCTTTGCGCTCACTGTGTCCTGGAAAATCCCCTTTTTCTTGACCAGAAGGATACTGTGGAAAGCCACCAATATTTCTCTGTATGCCAGCTGCTATATTATCTTTGTAACTGTATCTCAAACTGCCAGGAGATTTGGAAGGTTCTGTTCTCACAGGAAAATTTGACCCAACAACTGCATGGCTGGGCTGGCTGTTCCCCTCTCCATTATGGTTAGTGTTATCTCCACTTTTGCTCCCCTTAGTACCTCCTTGAGCTTCTGGCTGTGGCCCTGCATGTCCAGCTTCCTTCACTCCACTAGCACTAACTGGTGTCTGAGTGGCTGTGGAAACATCATCTTGTGCAGGTTTCTCTTGTCCACCTGCCTTTTCTACTCTACCTGCCATAGCCTCCCGGGAGACAATCACTCCAACTGCCTTTTCATTCACTTTTGGGGCATTTTCTACTGCCACTACAGCTTCCTTCCCATCAGGGGAGGCCACATCTTCCCTAGCTGCAGGGCTGGTGCTGAGTTTTGAGGGCTCACTCTGAGAGCCTTGTGCTGGTGAGGAGTTGGATCTTTCTAAGTTACCCCCCTTGTAGGTAGTGTCTGAGCTTGTGCTCTGGCCACTCAGCTGTCTCACCCTTTCCCCATGATCCTCTGAACTACTGGAACAGCCACCATCGAGGGACTCTGCCAGGGGGGACTTGAGCTGCTCCTCTGCCTGGGAAGAGCCTTCTGAGTTTGTGCAGCTGTCAGCCTTCTTTGAAGAGGATGACCTTTTGGAACTTTTTTTCTGAGGTGCCAAGGCATCTGAAAGCAACATGTGCTGGACTGTGTTGGGCAGATTGGCCACTTGAGAACTTAGGGCACTTAGGCTACTCAGCCCTGGATCTGTGAGCCTTTTTTCCTGCAGTCCTTCCAACCCAAACCCCTTGAATCCCCCTGCATGAGCATTGGGACTTGGCATCATAGATGGTGTAGGACTAAGCTGAGGCATCATCTGCAGGATTCGGTTTCTAGAACCCATGGACATGTTGCCTTGCCCACACTGGAGATTTTCTCCACCTGGCATGAGAGGAGAAGGGGTGGAGCTGCAGCTTGGAGACTGAACCACAGATGCAGCAGGAGATGGATTAGAGATTGGACTGAAGTTTTGGTGAAACTGCATCGGTGACCTTACAGGAACTTCAGTCTGGCTGTACTGTCCCACTTGACTTTGAAGAGAGAGCTTGGAGGCAGCATTTGAATACTGCATTACATGCTGAGGTGGGTGCTGCTGCTGCTGCCCCTGCTGCCCACTTTGGGGCAGCTTAGACTGCTCAAAGCTTTTCATCGGTTGAGTCTGAAAGCTGTAGTTTGACTGGGACCCATATGCCTGTGCATTGGAACCCACGGCATGGCCTTCATACTGTGACCCAGAATTCACGCTGTAGCTTCCATCATAATTCTGTCCTGACTGGCCAAAACGCTGTGGGGAGGGGAAAGAGGAGGACGAGGACGACGAAGGTGGCTGATAGTGTTGGCTGTACTGACCCACTCGTAACTGGTACCCAGAAGCAGAGGAAGGCAGGGTGGATGGACGCTGCATTGGCTGCAAGTGCGAGGTGCTAGAAGCAGACTGGCTGGAAGCCTGGGGTAAAGGCTGATGAGACTGATAGATCTGCTGTCTCAGCTGTTGTACCTGCTGCTGCTGGCTAGAAGCCTGCTGCTGATACTGAGCACTCCCTGGAGAGAAAGGACCAGTATAATCCTGCTGATAGTGGGATACGCCCCCAAGGGTCGAATGCTGCGTTTGAAATTGGCCCACGTGTCCCTCACTCCCATACTGACTCCCAAAGCTACTCCCTTGAGGGGGCCCATAGCTCTGTACCGGTCCAGAAGGCCTGCGCTGAGGCGGCTGCTGCCCTCCTGACGCCACTGGATCTTTGTTGGTAGCCATATAGTAAAACTCTCCTGCTTCTTTTCTGAAACCTTGGTAGCTCTGATGGCCAGAGCTCTCACCAGGCATCGCTGTAGAGGCTCCTGCTGCTCCGCGACGTCCACTGCCAGTACCTCCTCCGAAGCTCTGGAACATCTGGGCCTGCTGGCGCGGGCTGAACTCCTCCAGTCGGGACGATCCGTGCACTTCCTGCGGGTAGCTCTGCTGGTTTCCGTGGTAACTACTTTGCTCCCGAAAGGACTGCATGCTGTTCAGCAGCAGAGCAACAGCTCGAAAGCCCTCCTAAAGGGGGGACAAGAAGAAAGAAAGAGGTATAGCATCTGCATGTCCCATTCACATAAGCAGCATTGCCCAGTTCCACTGTTTTAACGGCAATTAAAATCGAGTACGTCTCCTACACTAATTTCTATCTCCCTGCTTGCACCTTCCAGTCATTCTAGGTAGCAAAAGGAGTCATTGCTTTCCAAGAAAAAACAAGTCTGTAGCCTACTACCAGCTGGAACATATTTTCAGCCTTAGTATGTTCTGCAGTCAGTCACCGACCGGGTCTATTTATGTGGAAAACAAGCTTCCAGGAGCATTTTGTTAAGCAGAGGAGAGCGACCCTATTCCTTCAGCTATTTTGCTACCACAAGATTTAAAAAAAGATTTAACTGTATGAACCGCACAGCAGACTCAAACCACGTTTGGATCTGCACTGCAGGAACAACGTCCAAAAGACCACCTTTCACTGAGAATACAACTAGAACACAGCCAACATACAACCAAACAAAGCTCCAACAAGATATTCCAGTGAAAAGGCAAATATGAATCTGTGACAATTCAGGCACCAGAATGCTTAAAGACATCTGCTTCATGCTGCATTGCTAACTGCTCCAATGACACCTGAAAGGCAAAAACCAACACAAGAAGGTAACAAACGGTACTTTTCCCCCCCAACACCTGCTTTGTTCAGCAATATGAAAAGTCAGAACCAGGCCACTCTTTTGAACAAAAGGGCCTATAGTTCATCCTCTAGACTTTTGCATTATCTTGGCTGAAACTTAATTGAAAGTACTTGTAAAAAAGCCAGAACATATTTTTTGGAATACTATGCGTTGCTACCCACATCTACATAATCAATTCCAAAGCAAATGAACTTCAGTCAGGGCCTCCTACATGTTTCCATTTGCTATCCAGTATGAGGAATCATGATTCATCCTCAAGGACTGGACAGCAGCTGCAATATTGTACGGGGATCCTGAGTAGGACCTCAAAAGCTTGAGGCACCACTACAGTCATTAAGAAAGTAAAGTAATAACAATGTGTACACACTGTTTGCTGAATGTTGGTTTGTTTTGTTGGTTTTTTTTTGTGTTTTTGTTTTTTTTTAATTTTGCAAGAAAAAAAGAGTACAATTAAAAAACACAGAAAGATGAAAAAAGCACATTGTTTCTTTGCTGCAGCTTTCCCTTCCAGCAAACAAACTGGTTAAAACCATGTGATGAGATTGCTTTCTTCAAATGTTAAGTCAAGATTCACGCTCTTCCAAGAAACAGAACTCTTAACTCCTCAAATGTGAGACTTCCTGGAACATTTGCCTTCGTTACATCTTGTCATATTGTCAGGTTGTGTACTTGTCACAACCAACTGAACACACTCAGAATTCAAGCCTTTAAGTTTCAGTTCAAGTACAAGATCACCAAAGAGTCCCAAGAAAAGAGACATACAAAGAAGATGACGTAGACTATGCGTGACATCACACACTTTTTCCACCTGCCTCTCATCCTTCTGAGTCCTCCAGAGAGACAGCCTGGTTTTATTTGGGTTACTATTCTTCTCTACAATCCCTTTACATTAATTCAGGAAGGCAGAAGACCCGCTAACCCAAGGAAGTGAAGAAGTTTCTTATTCTTAGTTGGTTTTTGTTTTGATCTTGCAGTTTATCTTGAGAAATAAAATTTTTTGGTCAGATTAACTTAGTCCATGCCCTATGTAAATAAGTAAATGCTCTTTTTTCAGGTCTCCTTCAGCACAATATATCATTTTGATATCTCACAAGCAGCTTGAATAACACACCAAGCCTCATAACCAGGATAATAGCCAAGGGAAAAAAAAAAAAAAAAAAAAAAGCATTTCATTAATAATAGGAATTAAAATAGGCAGCCTTACTCCATTACATCATCGATAACTTAACACCTATAGCAGACTTCCTGCCATTAATTTACTAAAAATACAGGACTATTACAATTATTATTGTAATAATGTTTCTTTAAGGTAACAGCACTATTCTAAGTGCACAGCACAGATCTGAGTGCTGGATTCTCAGCAAAACCACCAAGGAGAATTTCCACAGGCAAGCTCTGTTAGTAGAACAAATCCAGACAGATGAGGAAGCCTCCAAAGCCCACGTGAATCCACAGGAAAAGAAAAAAAAAAAAAAGAGATAAATATTCATTTGATTAAAATTTTACCAGAAGGACTTAAAGCAACCAGTTTAGAATCATTAAGTTTGGAAAAGCCCACTACAATCATCCAGTCCAACCATCAACCCATCCCCACCATGCCCACTGCCCACGTCCCTCAGTGCCACATCCACACAGTTCTGGAACACCTCCAGGGATGGTGACTGCACCACCTCCCTGGGCAGCCTGTGCCACTGCTGCACCACTCTTGCTAAGAAGTTCTTCCTGAAATCCAACCTGAACGTCCCTTGGCACAACCTAAGGCCACCACCTTTCATCCTATCACTGTTACCTGGGAGCAGCCACCACATCTCACCACAACCTCCTTTCAGGTCACTGTAGAGAGCAATCAGGTCTAACCTGACACTCCTCCAGACTGAACAAACCCAGTGCCCTCTGCCGCCCCCCACAAGACTTGTGCTACAGACCTTTTGCAGCTTCACCTTCCTTTCCTAGACACGCTCCAGGGCTTCCATGTCCTTCCTTCGTGAGAAAAACAAAACTGAAGGCAGTGCTTGAGGTGTGGCCTCCACCAGTACGTTATCTCTTGAATGCAGGAACTCAAAAGAGTGGCACACCAGCTGCTGAGCAAAGACTATAAGAGACATAAAGTGGTCCTGAATTGTGGCAGACTGCTGTAATTCTCTCCTCGGTACAAGGGGCAAAGTCTCACCTACAAAGAAGTGCTCCACTAATGGCCACAAATTACATATGTTTCCAGCATTTACCAACACACAACAAAAACCATCCAAGGCCACCTCCTGTCATTCATAGGCAAGAGAAGAGCTTGGCACAGCTTTCGCTACACCAGTGCCCCATCTACAGTGACAGAAAGGGCACCCAGCTCTGCCACTGCAGCTTTGTGATTCTTCTCCAGCATTCATGGCCTGTAGCTTTATATCCAAGTACATCCATTTACAGATTGCAGATGACATCCACTAGACTGAATTGTTTCACTCTGCTTCAATGTTTTTCTTTCTTCCCAAATGCCCCAACATCTGTCTTCAACCTGGGTAGGAACAAGGAAGCGTACTACAAGCTCTCATCCATGACAAGAAACAGCCTCGGATTTGAGATCCCTGCCCATAACTCAGAGAGAAGCAGCAGCTCTTCTTAACTGTTTCATGATTATTTGTGCAACATCTAAGCTTATCAGGTAGTTTTTCAACCTACGTTCTCCACGTGAAATTATTTCTAAGTACACCTTAAGTACATCTACAATGCAGACTTGGTTTCTTGTTTAATTATCTGAAACACCTCTGCAGAACAACTTTGTTAACGTGGGAGTTCCCCAAAATACAGAGCTACTGTATTTGGATCCTGCTGTCAGCAGGATTACCAAATGGTAGCCAGCAGCATGTAAATCTCTTTAAACAGCTCCTGCATGTAAATGCAACTGTCCAACCACCGCTGATTAACAGGGTTCATCAGTCCTCCCACACAAAGATTACTGTGTGAAATGATTTTCCGCAACATACTGTGCTAGGTTTTTTAAATCCATATAAATCTCTGAACTTTTTTGTCCCAATTATCAAAGACAAATATAGATTTTCTCATGTAGTGCCAGTGCCAGCGCAGTTGTGCAGCACTACAGCCAGCCAGCTCAACACAAGTGAGCTGAATGGCAAAATACTGTGGGGATATGCTTAATCCTTACAATAAGCCAAAGAAAGAGCAAACCAAATCAGCACCACTTCGTTCTGTAGGAGGTGAAATCTTTCTGCTTTGTTAAATTTTCTTCAGATTTGAGTTGACTACTGCGACCCATCTGTGCAGAGAAGTCTCAAGGCAGCAGGCAAATGCAATGCACTTCTGGTGATCTGCCCAAGACCTCTCACTTCCTAGAACACTGATCAGCAAAGAAAATGTCATCACAGACAGGTGACAAACGTTGAGAGAGCATATTCCATTGTCCAAATATGTACACAAACAACTGCTGTTTCTTTAATTATTATTTTTTCCACATTGGTCATCCAGGCTTCTGATTAAAACACTTATTTTCTAAATGCTCTGCAAGAGAGATACATACACATCTCCATAACCATTTCTAGTCCTTGCCTGCACAAAAGCCAACATTTTTCTTCTTCCTCTCTCCATCACAAACTCGCAGAGCACGCACAACTCCAAACCTCCATCATTCCAAAACTTCAGTGTAACTCCATAATTTGTCCCTAAAAAACCCTAAGATCAGAATTAAATCTAAAATGAAGTTAAAAAATACATATATTTCCACAAAGTGAGTATCACTTCCACAGTCAAGGCAAAGTTACCAAGCCTCGCTTCTGCAGGTGGTCAGCTGCAACTTGCACACCTGAGCAGTGGCAGGGAACAAACTGATCTTGTTCCAGTCTGGGGGAGAATATCACCTCATGTGCTGCTTTTAAGAAGAAAAAGCAGATTTACTTTTTTGCCTTAGGTGTAATATGCAAGTAAACCAGAAGCTGGCACCGCAAGAGGTCACCATCTTGTCCAAGCAGTAACATTCACAGCACACCAGCACTGATCAACCTGAAATACACAGCAGGTTTACTTTGTACCTTTCTATACAGCTGTTTCAGATCCTGTTCCAGCCAGAAGTTACTTCCATGTACAAGGAATAAACCAAACGATCTAAGGCACAAGAAACTCGTATATTGTCTCATTCAACTCCATTCTTCTAGAGAAAGCAGCAGTCACACCTGGCTCTCACCAAGACATAATTTATTCTATCAAATAAACTTCATCACATCACTCAAAGTTTAAACAGTGTACAATTAATTTTCATAGAGAGTGCCACAACATAGTGAAGCAGATACTTCATTTGCTCCAAGTCATCTCAGCAATTCTTAACAATGGAAG